AACTTAAATATACCATAAACAAAAATAAATAGAATGTAGCTATGTAGCAAAATCGCCGTTTTCTATTAATTAGTATTAATTGGTATTATTTTTATTGTTGGGTTACAAAGAATAAAACTTGTCTTTTATAAAATCCAATCCGAATTGAGAAAGGATTTCTAATATGCAAGTCTCTTCTTATTATATTCTTTATTATCATATGAGTATAGATAGTAAGATATATTAAATATATAATCCTTCCCTTCTTATAATGAAATTATTTTAGAGCATAGAGAATATAAATAATAAATATTAATCCCTCTTCCTAACTTAAATTTCTAAAGCTTTCAACTACACTAACCTTAGGGTTTATAAGAGAAATTTAAAGAAATTTGAGTTATTTGTCAGATTGAGCTAAAAGATGGTAAAATTGAGGGAAAAGAAAATACTATATTAGAATTTCATCTTATAACATGGATGCAATAGTTTTCTTATCTGATTCCCCCTGTAATCTAGATAAATAATTAAAGAATTTGAGCAGGTAAATTAAGTTGTTACCTGAATTTGTCTGTTAAGCAGTTCAATTTTCTAAGTCTGCGTATATATTTAAGGTGAAATTTTTTTCTCAAGGGATTATCTCTAATAAGTTCTTGAATTTGCGAGGTTTCCTTTCATTGGAGTAATAACCTCAGTATATAATCGATGTTGCGAATAGTGAAATGTTTGAGTACAACTCGATATGAATTCTTACTAACGAACGAAAATACTGGCTAAGGATATAAAATATCAAAAAGATATCTTGTGGGGGAATTCATTAATTAGGGATATGTCCTAATGCAGATAAAACTTTTCACAGATAATATACTAATATTTGAACCAATATTACGAAGTAATAGACTAGGAAAAAGCGGATGCATATAATAAAAGCTTTTTAAGGCATGAGAATGTTACCTTAGAGTGAATCGGGAATTTGTATGAATAAGATGAATATAAATTAACAACACGCGAAAAAACATAAACTTTTTCTATAATCAAAATACCCAACTAGTCTAAAGTATGTAAAATAAGGAATTTATTATGTTCATGAAAGGACAATTCTTTGAGTCGAATAAAAGATAAAGTTTCATTACTATAGGAATTGATTTTTAGATGCGAATAGAAATTGCACAAAGAGAAGAGGAAATGTATTGATGAATAAAATTGCACAATAAACAATTTACCACTGAAGAAAATCACACCAAGAATTAAGAAGTTTTAGCAGATATTAGTAAAAAAAATAACTGAAAAAAGTTTCAAGATAAGACCTAATAAAGAAAACCTAAAAAATAGAAAAAAAAATAAATGGCCTCATTTGCTTGGGGAAAATAATGATTGAAAGGTAATCAATTTCAAAATACAAAAAATGTATTTCAAAAAAGAATTTCTACAGTATTGACATAATTTAGAGTAAGATGGTATAATCTTATCAAAAGCCGCCATGGTGAAATTGGTAGACACGTTGGTCTTAGGAACCAATGCTCACGCATCTCGGTTCGAGTCGAGTGGCGGCATTTTACAACTAGAACTCTCTTATTTCCTTATAGGAATATCTTATCATTCCATGACAAGATAGTAATATCCTATGACAATATACTAAAAAAGATACTAAAGAAAAATTTTTTGATGACTAGCTAATATATCATATAACTAGTCTATAGTATTACCATTTCTTAAGTGATATAATAAGGGGCTATGCTATAAATATATAAATAAATGTATTTTTATAAAAAGAAAACAATTCTTATGACACCTAGTATATTAGAAAAAATTTTTATTGAGTTCTGCTTCATTATTTTTCTTTTAATAAGTCTTTTGTCTTGGGCTAATTTAACAATATACAGTACAAATGAAATCCGTTTTGTTTCAAAAAAAGCAATGATTGTCGGTTTTGTTGGTATTACTGCGTTATTACTAATTCGCTGGTTAATATCTGATCATCTTCCATTAAGTAATTTATATGAATCTTCTTTATTCCTAGCATGGAGTTTAGCATTAGCATATCTTTTTTTGGACAAGAAAATTCAAAACGATTGGCTTGACGCGATAATAGCACCAAGTGTGATGATAACCTATACATTTGCAACTTTAGGACTTCCTAAAGAAATGCAACAATCTACAGTACTGGTGCCAGCTTTACAATCTAATTGGCTTATGATGCATGTAAGTATGATGATATTAAGTTATGGGGCACTCTTGTTCGGTTCTTTATTAGCAGTAACTTTATTAACACTCAGTCTAGCTGAAACTAGAAATGGAGAAGTTTCTGTCAACAACAACAATATTTCTCTTAAAAATTCTGAATCTTCCCAATTAGTCTATTTTGAATTCTACAGAGTATCTTTAATAAATCAGATAGATTACTGGAGTTATAGAATTATTGGAATGGGATTTCCTTTATTAACTATAGGCATTCTTTCTGGTGCTGTATGGGCTAACGAAGCCTGGGGATCTTATTGGAGCTGGGATCCTAAAGAAACTTGGGCATTAATTACTTGGTTAATATTTGCTATATATTTACATATTCGTATGACTAAGGGATGGAATGGCAAAAAACCAGCATTAGTAGCTTCATTAGGATTTTTTGTAGTATGGATGTGTTATTTAGGTGTGAATTTGTTAGGAAAAGGTTTACATAGTTATGGATGGTTCAGTTAATTTTCTACTTTAGTAAATAGTATGAAAATTCCTCTCAAATGGCTAGAAGACCCAGCGGTGATCCCGATGACAATCGTCCCGCGAGGGTTTTATACTAGTCATATCTAAAGAATTCTTTGTTTGTCTTATAAACAAATCTGTTTATATATATATCAATTTATTAAATGCACAATAAAAATAGCTAATATCAATAAATTCTTTTTTATATTAGCTATTTTTATTGTGCATTTAACCGGTTTGATAAAAATGACGAAAAAGAAAAATATGAGAAATGGAATATTCTCTTTAATAATTATACCATTTCTCTAGCGAACCCTCTAGAGCTATGTTATAATAAATTCTAGGTTGTAAGAGTAATTTTCTATTCAATAAAGAAAATATATTCTCTTTATTAACTTGATTGGAAAAAAACAATTATCAACTTACATACTTTTTTCTAATATTATACAAACAGAAAAATAAGTTTGTTCAACTAACATACTAACTAAGAGGAGGTCTTTGCGTGAAAATAGCAGTCTACGGCAAGGGTGGGATCGGTAAGTCTACCACCAGCTGTAACATTTCTATTGCCCTGGCAAGACGTGGCAAACGAGTGTTGCAGATTGGATGTGATCCGAAACATGATAGCACATTTACATTGACGGGCTTTCTGATACCAACCATTATAGATACCCTACAATCAAAAGATTACCATTACGAAGACGTTTGGCCTGAAGACGTTATTTACAAAGGATACGGAGGTGTAGATTGTGTCGAAGCAGGAGGACCACCTGCGGGCGCAGGCTGCGGAGGATATGTAGTAGGTGAAACAGTCAAGCTTTTAAAAGAATTGAATGCTTTCTACGAATACGATGTCATCTTATTTGATGTATTGGGAGACGTAGTTTGTGGTGGTTTTGCAGCACCATTGAATTATGCAGACTATTGTATCATTATCACAGACAATGGATTTGATGCTTTGTTCGCAGCTAATAGGATTGCAGCATCTGTGCGAGAAAAAGCTCGTACACATCCATTACGTCTTGCAGGTTTGGTAGGAAACCGTACCTCTAAAAGAGATCTAATTGATAAATATGTAGAAGCTTGTCCTATGCCTGTATTAGAAGTATTACCTTTGATCGAGGATATTCGTGTTTCTCGAGTCAAGGGGAAGACTCTATTTGAAATGGCTGAATCGGACCCTTCACTTAATTACGTATGTGACTTCTATTTGAATATTGCAGATCAGATTCTATCTCAGCCAGAAGGAGTGGTACCTAGAGAAGTACCTGATAGAGAATTATTCAGTCTACTCTCTGATTTCTACTTGAATCCTACATCCTCTACTTCATCTGAGACTAATCTTGAAGAAAACACCCTAGATTTTCTTATGGTGTAGACAGATTATGCGTCTTGACCTCAGTTGTCTTCATAGAAATCCCAATATTGCTAGATAGATATGTAAGACCAACTGAGAAAACTAGTGCATCATCACTTATAGTTTAAGTCCAAATATTGGTCACAAGGTTCAACACTTGTGATCAGTATCTATTAATATAGGAAGGAGACATTTTTTATGCCATCAAGTAGAACATCTGATACACTGACCTTCGAGTGTGAAACAGGCAATTATCATACTTTTTGCCCTATTAGCTGCGTAGCCTGGCTTTATCAAAAGATTGAAGATAGTTTTTTTTTAGTAGTAGGTACAAAAACTTGTGGATATTTTCTTCAAAATGCTCTGGGAGTAATGATTTTTGCAGAACCCAGATATGCTATGGCCGAACTAGAAGAGGGAGATATTTCCGCTCAATTAAATGACTATCAAGAATTAAAGCGCCTTTGTTTACAAATCAAAAAAGATAGAAACCCTTCGGTTATTGTTTGGATTGGTACATGTACGACAGAAATTATCAAAATGGATTTGGAGGGAATGGCCCCAAGACTAGAAGCAGAAATTGGTATACCAATTGTTGTAGCTAGGGCTAATGGATTAGATTATGCTTTTACCCAAGGTGAAGACACAGTCTTAGCAGCAATGGCACATAGATGTCCTGACAATAATGGAACTATAAACACTTCTTCTACACCAGATCAAGCAGTACAAGGCTTATTGTCATTCTTACCTTTAAAAGGGAAAGAAAAAGAATCTCAGGAATCACAGAATTCTATTAAACATCCTCCACTAGTTCTCTTTGGATCATTACCTTCTAATGTTGTTTCACAACTTACATTAGAGTTAAAGAAACAATCCATTCATGTTTCTGGCTGGCTACCTGCTCAGAGATATACTGAACTACCTGCTTTAGGAGAAGGAGTTTATGTTTGCGGGGTCAATCCATTTTTGAGTCGAACTGCCACAACGCTTATGCGTCGGAAAAAATGCAAACTGATTGGTGCTCCATTTCCTATTGGCCCAGATGGTACACGAGCTTGGATCGAAAAGATATGTTCAGTATTTGGCATTCAACCTATCGGATTAGAAGAAAGAGAAAAACAAATATGGGATGGGTTAAAGGACTATCTTGAGCTTGTACGCGGAAGATCTGTATTTTTTATGGGGGATAACTTATTAGAAGTATCTCTTGCTCGTTTCTTGATTCGCTGTGGTATGATAGTATATGAAATTGGTATTCCATACATGGATAAACGCTATCAAGCAGCAGAATTGGCACTATTGCAAAAAACATGTCAAGAAATGGGAGTACCAGTTCCAAGAATTGTTGAAAAACCCGACAATTATAACCAGGTGCAAAGGATGCGTGAACTTCAGCCTGATTTAGCTATTACTGGAATGGCACATGCGAATCCATTAGAAGCTAGAGGCATTAGTACAAAGTGGTCAGTAGAGTTTACCTTTGCTCAGATCCATGGATTTACCAATGCAAGAGATATCTTAGAACTAGTAACACGTCCATTGAGACGGAATCTTAGTCTAGAAGAATTGGGTTGGACTGGATTAGTTAAAAGAGACAAGTTAAACGCTTAAAACACACAGAAAGAAAGGGACTTATTGAGCACTTATTCTATTTCAACAAGGGTGCAAATTTCTTTTTCTTCTACTTCTAGAGGTACTACAGTACCTCTAGAAGCTGCCGTTAATCCTATAAGCATATAGGGTTTTTATGTTAGATCAAATCAAGAAAAATAACAATTCTCGAATCACTACATTCGACATAAAAAACTTTCATTCATAAATGAAACTATAGTTTCTATTGTACTCTTTATGAAACCGATTCTATCTATTTTTGATCAAAATTTTATATTTTATGAATAATACTTATATGTTTTTACTGTTATTAGGAAGTTATTATGGCTTTTTAGCCACTTTACCTCTTGGACCCTCTAAATTATTATGTGTCCGTAACTTTCTTATAACGACTAAAGGAAGTAAACCTATAAAATTTCAGCTAGAATCAGCTCAATCCATACTCATAGCTGGAATAAGTGGTTTAATTGTTGCACAAGTAATGATCTTGTTATCTGTATATTCTCCATCTCTTTATGCCCTATGGTTAAAGCCACATATCTTCAATTTATTTTTTATACCTGTTTTATTTTTTTATTGGCATAAAATTAGATTACTAGAAACAGACACATATAATGACCAATTGTTAGGTACAAATAATTTATCCAAAATACGTATACAAACTGCATTTTTAGAAACTTTATTTATTCAATTACTGAATCCTATTGTTTTTCCAAATGCTGTTTTTTCTAGGCTAATGAGTGTTTTTCTATTTCGTTACAGCAATGTTATTACATTTGTTGGTGGAATATTATTAGGCATATTAGGAGGATACTCATTATTTTTATTTTCTACTTTGTATTTAGTTGAAAGATTAGAACAAGATACACCAACTATATATCGCCTAGTAAAACGTGTAATACACCAAGCTTTTTTCCCTATATTTTTTATTATTTGCTTAATTTATTTAGGACGATCCCCTATTCCATCAATTAAAAACTTTAGTTTTAATAAGGAATCATGGCAAGAAAAACCATGGCCAGATATTTTTTACAGTTATGATACATGGAAACGCCCATTGCGTTTTTTGAAAAATAATAAAACAAATTCAACTGAAGAAAATATTCGAGCATTTAATAAAATGTATTTCTCTCAATATTTTTTGAAATTTATAAAAAAGATGGAAAACAAAAATTGTATCATAACGCTCCCCAAAGTATATCGATAGTTTCAAGAGATTTAAATAAATTATTGGAAATACCAAGTATCTCTGAAGAAGATCAAGAAAAAATTTTTGATGAATGGATTCAAGATAAAGAAACACGTAAAGTAGAAATACAAAAAAGTATACAAAATCGATTAATATCGTTAAAACAAGGAGGATTATTAGAGGATATAGTAGAAAAGAAATTTGGATCTATTAGTTACAATGGTAACATTTTAAGCAAAGAATATGATCCTCGTTTAGGTTTAGATACAAGAGAAAATAAATTCAATATTAATAATAAGTCTCCATTATTATTAACAGAAGCAAATTTAAAGGAAAGAAGTGCCTTTTTATCCTCAGATAAAACAAATCTATTAAATATATATACTAAAAATCGTTTAAAATTGTTTTTTACTACAAACTTAGTCAATTATGATAAATTACCAAAAATTGAATGGCAAAAAGAACAGAGTTTAATAGACAAAGAAATTCAAAACATTGAATTAGAAGATTTTACTAAAGAAAGTTGGTCAATTGACAAAATTGAATCATTAAAAAATGACAATATTCAATCATGGAATAATATTTTATATAAAATACAAAAATTAGTAAAATCCAATAAAGAAATAAGCAACGCAACTAGTTTTTTAGGAAGTCAGCAAGAATATGATAGTGTTGACAACAGTGCGCGTTTTATAAATATGTACAAATTGATGCCCTCATGGAACTCGAAAATAAGCAGAGCTGATTTACAAAAACCTGGATCTAAGAAATTTAGTTCTGTATTAGCAAATTTTGTTCGCCACTTATTACCAGGTTCTATGCGTGCACGACGTCGTAAAGCTTTATCATGGAATGCGTATCAAAATCAACCTCATGCTCCTATATTTTTACGTGCTATTACTTCTTTAAATTTAGATACTGTAGCAACTACTGAAGAAAATAATACATTACTATTTAAAAAGAAAAATGAAAATCAACAAAGTGTTCATATTTTAAAAACAAGATGGAATTTCCCTATTGCTCATTTTGTCAGAGGAATTGCATTATGTGGACAGGCGTATATCAGAAGATATATAAAATTACCAATACTAATTATTCTTAAGAATATTAGTCGACAAATTTTATTACAATCGACCGAATGGCAAAAAGATTGGACAAATTTAGCACAAGAAGTTTATGTTGATTGTGACTATGATGGTAACGACTTATATGTTGGTGTAAAATTGCCTAATATCTTGGAGTTGAAAGGCAAACAAGTTAAAATAAT